CTGTAACATGGGGGAAAAAATTGCTTTTGCTCAGATCCCTTGGCTTCTCGGATCACGGAGACCATCGTTGCCACAGAGCAGGGAGAACTTGCCCTTTAGGCGCTGCCCACTAGCCCACCAGCCTGGAAAATAAACTTGTGATAGCCAACTGCAAATAGCAGATGAACTCTTGGCTCTGTAGCAGAAACCACTGTGGGTTATGAGGACTTGCTAAATGTACTGAAGGTTGCGAAATAAACAGGTTTGACAGCTGCTGGGTCCAAATTTGGCTGTTCTTGTCTCAGTTCAAGAATCTCTGTACAGAACACAAATTATCCGACCCAAGCTAAGCAAAAAGCCTGTGAATGTTTCTAGAAGCATCTTTGATTTAAAAATCTAGATATCTTTCTGTAAGCTTTCTCACGTGTGTGTGTTTTCCATTGGTCTTTAATGTTCCCTTGCCATAAATCAAAAGCCATTCCATTTCTGTAAGTAAATTTCCTTCTGACATCAGAATCGAGGAACAAGTGGAAACACATCTTTTTTGCTGATTCTTTCCATTCCATTTGTTTGTGGTTCAGATCTTAGCTATATGTTGAAGTTTGTGCTATTATTTTTTAGTCTAAACTGTTTTTTCCATGGTAGAGAGGATCATTTGATTTGTGTGTTAGTTTAAATCCCAGAAACCTCTTGGTTATAGAAGCTGAAGAAGAAGGGCTTAGAGAGTCTAAATATTTCATACTGTTTAATAAGTATATCTACCAATAATAGGCTTTGTAAAGAAGGGTAGTAACTCATCCTGTAGTATCCCTAACCAAAAGAAAAAGCCATAAAGATTTTTTTTTTTCCCTCTGAAATGATTAATGGCTGTGTATCTGAAGTCCTGCAAATTTCTGCTCTGCTCGGCAGAATGTAAAATTTCAAAAGAAATAATATCTTGCACACCTGTTTGAGAAAATAGCTCTTCTTCATTCTGTTTTGCTGGCTCTCCTGCCAGCCAAGCAAGACAAGTAAGCAGCGCCATGGAGCTCTGCTGGAGTTGTTTGCCCTTTTCATCCATTCGGTGCCTTGATTCCTTATCTGCCATCATCCCTGCGGGAAGTGTGCGTGCGTGTGGGGAATGCAGGGCTGGGCACACATCTCATACCCTTTGAAGACACTTTGTCCAAACGCTCAGTTCCAGTGAGTGTAATTTAGTTGATAAATATCTAACAGTTTTCTGGAGAGGAACCTCTGCTTGTTTTCTGCAAAAGCATGTTTAGTGTGATCCCGAACTCCTCCAATACTGCCAGGAGGGCACGTAGTGCTGTCTGTGTGTTGATGGTCCCAAACCACCTAAAGGCTTTATTATGTGCTTTCCTTAAAAATGTGGCATTGTTCTAGACTGCTTAGAGACTGAGATGTGTGTTTAATATTTCATGGGCATGAAAGAGAAGAACAAGACAGATCAAACCGGTGTCCGTGGAGATGAAAATGAGTGTACCCATGTCCATTGTCCTGGTGTGGAGGACCAGGAAACTCTTATTCCTGGAAGTGCTGGGATTGCTTTTGTTGGAGATGTTACTTCGTCTTCCCTCATTGTCAATGCAAATGTAGTAGCTCCCTGGGTATCTTCTGTTGATGTCTTAATCCAGATTACCTATTCTCAGCATCCAAACTTCAATCCAAAAGGTGATGAAAGATTTTAATGAATGTGTGAAAACAGGTTTCAGAGGCTGTACGACCTCAGTGTGAAGAGGAGAACTGGCAACATCACGCCCTGAGTGTTTGTAGTGTTTGGTTAGACCTCGTGTGAGGCTGGTGTTTTCAGACATGCAGTTTTCAACAAATGTATAGACCTGATTTTTAAGCATCAACATTTGTCATCGTTAGTTTATATATGCAGCACGTATTCATACATATTACCTACATGCATATTAAAAATCACTGATTTAAGGCTGCTAATTTAAGAAAACACATGGCCACCTGTTTTGGCAATGATTTGAAGGGAAGTTAAGCAGATGTCTCTGTACTTTGCTTATTTGGGGAAAGCCCAGGTATGATGTGTTGGCCAATAAAAGATGCACTGAATGATATTCTGCTTCCATAGTCAGACTGTCCTTGTACTAAGGTAAATGGAGACAAGTTGGACTGGCAAAGAAATGGAAGGATTGCCTGATTTGGGCTGGTCTGTGTGCCCACGAGGGAGCTCTGTAACGCCAGCTGTGGCATTGGGTGTCCCCATGTGACCTCTGGGTCCTGGATAATGGGTTGGGTACCTTTGGTGAAGTCACCTAAATTGCATCTCAAAAAAAAACCAAACACCAAAAAACAAAACCCAAAAAACCAACAACCAACAAAACAAAAAAACTGTCAAGCTGTGTTTTTAAATTTTGCAGTGCAAGATAAATTTTTTTTCAAGTCACATTTTGAAATCTTTATTTCAAGACATGAAATAATTTATTTAATCAATTTTTATTGAAATCTGCCTTCCTGGTGTCTGCGTATGCTCTGACTCCAGCGGTCTGCAGCGAAACCAAGAGGAACTTTTTTGGGAGAAATTTGGGAGATGGCTTTTTTCCTTCATGGAAATGTGTGACCGAGCATGTTTGCCATCGCTGGGAAAGTGGCTGTGGTTTGTCGGGGCAAGAATGACAGAGCTGCTAGGAAGCAGGCTTGGGTTGTAACTGTAAATATTGGATCTATCTGGAGATGGTTGAGGAGGCAGGGCTTGGAGAGAGTCCAGGTCTGCCCTTGACTCGTCCTATAAAACCCCTTTTGAATTCAGAAGGAATTATCTATGAATATATGTAAGGGTGGATGTGCATGAGTGAGTAAGAAGGAACGTGACCATCTGATGTGGGATTCCCAGAGTGAGCTGTTGACTCATCCTGGGTTGTTTTTTTTTTTTTTTTTCTAATACAAAGCTATTTTCCAGCCTTAGAAACACTGATTTCAGTCTGGGAAGGCATTGAAGCACTTGCACAAAGTGCTTTTCCAAGGAGGGCTTTTTTCCGTAGTCAAGACCTGTGTAAACTTGAAATGTCTTTGATTGAGGGGAGGAGGAGGAGGAGAGGGGAAGGTGAAGTAGTTTCAGGTGCTACTGTCTGTGCGTAATATCTTGCCCATGGAGACCCTGTTCTGTTGCTCCTTAGGCAATACCAAGATTAAAAAAAAAAAACACCCCACAATGCAAACATCTGCACTTGCATCCACCTGCCAAATCCTGTAGCTTTACACTCCCTTTTCTATAACTTAAAAATAGGAGAGAGGAGGCAGGTTTTTTTGCTGGGCTTGGGTTGCTGGGTGAAGTGAGATGCACAAACGGCCTGAGCTGCCAAAAGGCAGGAGCTGGTGGGACGGTGCTGGGCTGCTGCAGGCACAGGCAGGCTGGGGAGGAGGGAGAAAACCCTTCCCTGCCTTGCTTTCATCTTCTGCATTTAGTGTTTTTTTTTTTTTTTTTCTCCGATAGCAGCGAGCTAAAATATTTTCATAAAGCAGCATACTTCTCGATGTCCCAGTCACTTCTGAATTTCTAAAAAGACTCCATCTTTCCCTTCCCGGATAAATTGTACTTAAACGTGCTTGGTTTTCTACCTAAAAGAATTCTGGAGCAGGAAAACGTCTAAGTAAATTCAAGGTTTGCTCTTTAACATTGGCAGCTGCTGTGCGAGATGCATTTAGAAACTGTAGTTCTTGTGTTAAGGAAAAAAAAAAAAGCTCTATTTTTTTTTTTAATTGTAAGATACAATTGCATTTGTTTTGCACTTTCTAATCTTGAAAACAGAAGCTGGGGGAAACTGGTTGGCTCTAGCTAGCTCTGCCTCGGCGAGTACTGGAACCAGTTTAGTTGGGAGGAGGTCAGCAGAGTGAAAACTTTTGCTTAAGATCCTTTGCAGCCAGGTCAGTATTGTTTCTCTTAACTCCTTTAGCTTTTGTGCTGGGTTTGTGAAGGTACAGTACAGCTTAGCCCTTAATGTACAACTATTTTGGCTTCGATATAGCCAAGCTATAAATAGACCCCCCCCTTGCCTCTCCAGCAGTAGGAAATGACTGCAGCAGGTGGTGTCCTCTGCTAGAAATTTGCACATTATTGGTACCCAAGGACTTTTTTAAAAATTGTTTTTTTGTGTATGTTCTTCCCTTATTTAAATGCCAACTGACCGGTCAACAAGCATCTTGTTAAAATCTGAAGTCTTCATTAAGACAAAAGAAAGCAAGCCAGAAAGGTATTTTTGCTTTATTTCTGTGGATCCTCTGCGTGAAGTATATTTTATATGTAAATTTTAAAGTATTAACAGAGGGTACAAGGAGCTGCATAATTCTGGTTACTGGTTAAAATGTTATTTCGATTTTTTTTTTTTTTTTTTTTTTTTTTTTTAAAAAAAAAAAAAAAAAAAAAAAAAAAAAAAAAAAAAAAAAAAAAAAAAAGTTCTAGGAAAAATATTAAACCCTTTGAACAGGGTGGAAATGCACGATAGGCTTTTTTTTTTTTTTTTTTTTTTTTTTTTTTTTTTTTTAGCTGTGTTGGGCTGGAGTTCCGTTCAGGCTTGTTACAGCGTGGTAATATTGATAGATGCTTGGAAGATGCCCACAAATCTTGTGGGCAAGATTTGTGTCCCTGCTTGTGCTGTTAATGACATCAAGAAAATAAAGGTGGCCTTTTGTGCAGCCAGATGGTGCTCCAAGTAAATAAGGATATCACAGCCTGCTCCATGCAAAATGAGTTTGATGGTGTCAGTGAACAAGCGTTCCCTCGACAAAAAAAACCTGTTGTTGTGTTTGTAGTAACTTTTAAGTCTCAGCAAAGAGGCCAAGTCACTCGGGCTGGGAGAAGAAATGTCTTTGTGCTGCTGAGATGTGTTTCCTTTCAGCCCTGGCAGAGAGCCCTTGCCTCCTTGCCCCTGGTGGGTACTGCAGGAATATGAGATGCGCTGTGGATTTATTTTGTGGGTGTGTGGGAACGGCAAAAATGGGGGACAATCCTGTGTTTCAGTTAGTTTAACGTGTGTGTGCCTTTCCACCTCTTCTGTCCCCTGCAGATGTGAGAGCTGCGTGGAGCTGCTGTTCGTGAGAGGGGCCGGGAACTGCCACGAGTGCGACACCCCCCTGCGGAAGAGCAACTTCAGGGTACAGCTCTTTGAGGATCCCGCTGTCGACAAGGAAGTGGACATTCGGAAGAAAGTGCTGAAAATGTGAGTGCCGCCACTTAACTAACAAAAGGTGGATGTGTTTAATGGTTTGCTGTTTTAAAAAATTGACTTTCCCCTCCAGTGGTACAGAGGAGGTTTTTCTGTTTTTAAATCACAACCCATAAGACTTGGCTCCACTTCCCATGGAGAGAATTTCAGAGAATCTGATTTTATGCAGCAACTGAGGGCTGAATTCCCCGTTTAGCCTTGAGGGATTCCTGCTTAGCATTAGAAAATGTTGGGTGTTTCTGTGTGCCCTCCTTTGGCAAAGACCTGCCTCCTAAATGGAGATGATTAGATCTGGAGGACTAGGGCTGCTTTCCCTTTGAGGGGCTGAACATGGAAGTGGGGCGAGAAAGAAGACCTTGATTGTTTTGTTCCCTGGGGACCTGTTCTGAGAGTTGAAGGCCTGTTACCTTCAAAATTAAAATAGACAAAAGGGAAGCTCTGTTCACATTGTTTTCTACTTCACACAGCAGTTGTTAGTGGAAATGGGTTCTTGTTGCTAGTCTGTCATGCAGATTTGAGAGCTCTTGAAATTGAGATAAATGAGGTCTAAAATTGCATTTCCCTCCTTGTGGCCAAGAAACAACATTTTATAAGGAAAATAAGTGAGCCAAGTTGATGTGTTGGTAGAAAAGGGTCTGATGGAATGTAACAAACCTGGAGAGGGTTGTGCTTGCAAAAATGAACATGTATGTAAATTGTAATCTTGGCAGCCTTTACCTAAGACTTAGTACAATCCTAAATGAATCAGATGATGTTGCTGAGATGTGGAGAAACCGTGTAGTTGAATACCAAGATGCTAATGTGGAAAGCAGTAATAATTTGGATGTTTGCTGATAAAGATTGCTGAAACTAACAAAAGTGAAGCTGGAATGATGCCAACTTAGTTGACTAAACACAGACTAAAGCATAGTTAGAACAGAAAATGTTGTAAAATGCTTGGCCCACTTGGATTTCCCACATTAGTTTTTAGTAGGCAGAAAAAAATGGCCCCAAATTGGAATTTGGCCTCAGTTCTCAGGATTAGATTTTTATACTCCTGGGTGTCTTGTATTTTGGTCCCCAGAGCAGGCAGGATCTCAGCTTTATATTTTCTTGGGAGGAAAGCCTGCATGTCTTGACTTTCAGAGGCTGTCCATGTTCTAGCCAGTTGTCCCTTCATCTTTTTACTTTTCCCAGCTGCCAAGAGTTGGATAAATGAGTTCTGGAATTGTCTGTTGATATGATTGATACAAGATAATCGTGTAGTAGTTTTCAGTTTGCCGTTTTCTGTTATTGGCACAAAGCCAAACTCCCTTTTCTGATACTTCTAGAGAAGCTTTTCTTGTGTGTGTTCCTGTTGTCTCTGTTAAGGGGTTTCTCATGCTGAAGGGCTGGCTTGGAATTAGTGTATCCCAGCCTGGGTGCTCTTGTTCACCTGTGACCCTGGGGAAAGGAATCAGCAAAGAGAGCACTGATTAATGCCAGCCTGGCTCCTTTCCTTCCAAACAAACGCTTCTGTCTCCTCTTGCAGATTCTGTACGTTGGTAATTGTGGGAGCCACAAAGCACACAGTTGATAAAACTAGGTCAATACTTAATAAGCTGGCAGCAAGAGCCTTGTTGAATTGAAGTTGGGTCTCTGTGTGTTATATAAATACTTGTTTCTCTTCTCCCAAAGATACAATAAAAGAGAGGATGACTTTCCCAGTCTAAGTGAATATAATGATTTCCTGGAAGAAATAGAAGAAATTGGTAAGTCTTAATGCTTGCATTCTTGATCTGCTGTGCGTGTGAGTCCATAGGCTTTTACTTTCTGACTTAGCTGCCTATGAGGATGTCAAAGTTGAGTTTCTGTAGTATGATTTATCATAGTATCAGATATTTATCTAATTATGCTTTTTCTGTACATTTTTAATTGTATTTGCTGAACTGTAGGACATCATTTAATAAAACATTTTATCTGCCAGAGAAAAGACATGATTCAAAGAGGAAATACTGCTTTATAGCTGGAAAAGAAAGGCTTGCAGGGTCGGTGCTTCACTGGCAAAGATTAAACAAAGAGAGGAGAAATTGAAATTTTCATTGTATGCCTCCATTAGCTTTATCTACCATGACAGAAGCCATATGGTGTCTTTCATCACTTTTGCTTCTGCAAGTACAGTAGTTGAAGCTGCTTTGAAGCCGATGACCTTACATACCACTGTGGTAGCATTTTATGTTGCTGAGCAGAAGGAGAAGGTTTAGGAACAGACATTGTTTTCTTTCTCTTTGGGTTAGTTGGAGCAGAACTTTGCCCTTTGGGAAGGAACTATGTTATCAACAGAGTTTATTTTCTTCTTAGTTAGGGTGACTTGTGATTTATGGTGGAGTGATGGATTTTGCTTAGAAAACCTTCTGTTCAAAGGGGTGACTCCTAAATGGTTTGTTTCTTGGTCTTTAGGAGCTTCTGAGCCTTTTTTTTTTTTTTTTTTTTTTTTTGTCCCGGAGGAAGAAGAGGTGGCTTAGAACATACAGGAGGGGTAGTGAGTGGGAGAAGGAAAACACAGAGATGCCACTCCCCTTGAGTTTCTCCAAGGAGTCCTTGCTCCTCTTTGCACTGTGTTGTTTTGTAGAAATGTATCCAATACGTTTACTCACTGCTGTGAATAATGTGTTGTGTTTTTGTTGGAATCAGAAGGCTGAGGTTGGAGAGCTAAATCCTGGAGCTGGGAAACACCAGACAGGCTCACGTGGGCCCAAATATCTGGAGAAGACGATGTGGGTGTAGTTCTGTCTGTGTATTTTTTTTGGATGGTGCGGGGGAAAGAGGGAATGAGCAGAAAGAATGGTTGCATCTTAGCCAGAGGATCCTGGGAGAATCTGTGTGCTCATGGAAAGGAAAACTGCTTTTTTTGTTATTAAATATAGATTTCCCACTTACTGCTGTTGCAGGCGTTTTCAGCATCTGCCACAAGGGAGTTGAAGTTTTTCCTGAGGTTCCCTTAACCTCATGGCTTTGTGCAGAATGGTACGATGCTTCAGATCTTGGGATTAGATAGTTAAATTTCAAGTGGTTCCAGAGCCTGCACTGATAACTTGGTTTAGAAGCGGCAGAAATCACGGCTGGTCTTTGTAACCTTGTGGGGAGGAGTGAATTTGTCACCAGTTGTGCTGGCCCTGCAAATGCATGATGAAGAAACTCAGTAGAGTCATTAGGAATTGGAGTCAGTTGCCTGAAAGGAACATTGAAAATAATAAAAGGAATAGGAAGTCTGACTGCCTCCTGGTTCCTTTGTGTAACAGCCAGGGTGAGGAGAGGAAAGAAAGGGTGCAGTCAGAAGGCTCTTTAATTTTCACTGTCAAAGGGGTCCTTTACGATCTACTAACTTCAGGCAGATCCAGAAGCTGGAGGACAGGTTAGAGTCAAGAGTACCACCTTGGGTAAGAATTCAAGCCCTGTTCACAGAATCACAGGATGACATGGGGTTGGAAGGGATCTCTGGAGATCATCTAGTCCAACCCCCTGCCAAAGCAGGTCCCACCCAGAGCAGGTTGCACAGGAACGTGTCTGTGTGTGAATATCACCCCCCTTGAAACACGTTTTCCCCCTTCATATCAGGCGTGTTTTACCTGCAGACTTTTTCTATTTAAAGGAAAGAGTTGGGGGGTACAGCAGAAGTGTGTGTAGAGGAAGGTCAAACAAACATTAGGGGAGTCACCTCTGAAGATTTCTGCTATTAGAAAAACACATTTTTGAAGTGGTTTAAAACGTAGCCACTAAATAATGCTTTGAGCTAAAATTTGTTATGCAAGGCTTTAAATAGAAACCACATTTTAAAGCAAATTTTCCCCAGAAGAAAAATCAGTTGGACAATTTGAGAACATTATAAACGCAGTTTGTTGTCGTTAACAGTAGGAAGGAAAAATAAGGTGAAGGGGTTAAAACCTGCCTTTGGGAAAGGCGTGCACAGCATCTATCCGAGTTAGTCAGGTCTGTCCCATATGGTGAGAGGGGTAAGGTTAAACCTTAGAGTGTTGCCCCAAGTTACAATCTCTGGACATAACACAGATTTTGCTGGCTCTTCCCCCAGGGTTTTCTTCTTCTCTCAAGGTTTTGTTCTTCCCCCGGTGATCTCTGTAGCCAGTTTTTCAAAACCTGGTAGGTGAGCTCCGCAGAGCAGGGCCAGCCTCCTCCCATGTGTGCACGCACTGCCTGGCACCCTCCTCCTGGTGCCTGAATGAGGCCTCTAGGCATTACCACAACACAATTGTTAATAGTAATTATTGCTTTTTAAAAAACACTCAGTGCATTCATACGTACCTGGAAGGAGGCTACTGTATTCGTGCCCTTCGGATTCCTGTATCTTGTTACTCCTTGAAGACTTTATGCAATACCAGCTGCCGGGTGGCTTGTCTTGCTCGGAACATTTATTTCACAAATGATCCTGGGATAGAAAGGATTTTGGTACATCTGATCATTTGTGGGTTGTGTTGTTTATTGTTTTGTGGGATTTTTCTTCCCTCTGCCTGTGTGCATGAGGAGCTGGTCCTGACAGAGGGAATAACCCAACTGGGAACCAGACAGCTTTATCCAAGATCCATTTCAGTCATCTTGTCTGAACGAAAACCTCAGTACCACACTGATCCAGCCAGGATGGGTCTCTCTCAGACTGACAGGGCTGAGCGATTTCAATCATTTATTACTGCGCTAAGGTATTTTTCTGGAAAATTATTGAGCCAGTAAAAGACATCTGAGGATAAACAGGAATAATTATTAATACCTACCTAGATTCTTCTGGTTTAGCCGTGGATTTTCTTTTGTTTCTGAGAATTATTTTTTTATAATGGCAGAAGTGTTGGTTGGAAGGGATGACCTGTTAAGATCTCTTCCATCTTTATTCCCCCCTCACTCCTCTCCTACACCTCTTAAAAGTACAAGGGCCGAGGTTGGCTCAGGCGTGGAGAGCAGCAGCAGCAGATGCCAGGGTTGCTTTGGACTCCCCCAGCAGACTGAAGATGTGGGAGATGAAAAAGCAAGTTGTTTGTAGTAGGGTGGGAGGAATAATTTTTTATAACAAAATAAAGACTTAACTAATTTAAAAACTTTCAGCTGTCTCATATCAGCAATGCAGATCAAACTCTGTCAGCAGAATAATCATCTGCTGGCTTGCCAGGGAGGGCATGTTCCTGATGTTTGAATAGCAAATATTTTTACAGGGCAACATTACTGTCTCTTAAGAAACTATGAGAAGTCTCAAGAAATTTGCAGTATCTCAGACTAAAACGGGGAGATTTTGATGGACTTAGTCCTGCAGTGGAGGACTATTTATTCCTACTGCTGTGTCTCTGGGCAAACTATTGTGCCATGCAATTAACATTTTTCTCTCATTTTCTTTTTTCTTTCATAACTAGGAAAATATTTTTCCATTTGTTGTAGAATTGCATAATGAATGTTGGTGCTTTGAAAAGCAGCGAAAGTCTCCCTGTAGAGGCTGAATTTCAGAAGTAGGGTGTTTTACCTAAAGAGAATGAAATGTTTCAGACAAACACAATAGTCTTCCTGTTATACTTCAACAGATGTCTCAAGGCAAGTAATTTTATAAATCAACCAATGTGAGATGGATAAGTAGATAAATAATTGTTGCATACAAAACAGCTTCTGTTTCTTTTCCCTGAAGGGTTTCAGGCCTCTTACATCGGCTTATGCTGTATTTCAACATGGACAAAAATAAGTCTGGCTTCTCTTTGAAACCTTTTCAAACTAGCCATCTGCTTTGCCAGTCATATTCAGATCTATACCAATATTTTTTCAGGGTAGGTGTGGCATATGAGTCAAGTTTTTTAACTCTTTTTTTGATCTTCTTGTTTTATCATTTATTTTGTTGTATTTTTTAAAAAGGGAAAACTTGGAAGAGTTATATTTAAAATAAATTTCTGGCAAAACCCAAAGCAGACCAAATGAAAAAAAAAACCAAACACAGTCGTAGCTGTGTAAAAGGTAGGATGTTGAGTATTAATGACCATATTCTTTGATTTGATAGTTTTTGGTTTTTAAATGCCAGGTAACTTGTGGAGGGGACAAGGGAGAAGAGAAGGAAATAATCTCCTAATTATTTTTTGTGGCCTAGTACCCCTTACAAAATGGACCTGTCAGCTGTATTCTCTGAATATTGATGAAAAATACATTAGAAAATATGCTGGAAGATGTTTTGACTGGCTGGTTGACCACTGATAACCATGCAATGTCAAAGAGTGTAGTTTGTTTTGCTACTAGGGTGTTTATTGTAGGAGGGAATATATTCTTTTGATTTATTAAAGAACAACTTTTGACACCGATGTTGGTACAGAGACATCTCGGTCTTAACGTTGTTGCAACAAAACGTAGCTCTTTAGTATTTTATGTCTAGAAATGTGAACAGCTTTAGTGTTCAGCAGGTGCTTAGGACCAAGCTAATGTTTCTCTTCCATGACTATGAATTAATATTCAGTGGGAGAAATCTGTTCTGGTCTTTGAGGGTGCTGTAAGTATGAATCTTTCTAACTGCTGGTGTCCTGCTGTAGTGACAGAGTGGAGCAAGAGTGCCAGAGCAGAATCAGCACGGCATGAGCAGATCTCACCACTCAGAGGGTTTTACCTGTGACTTGATTCCAGCCACAGCAGGAAAACAGAAGGGGAAATAAACCATCTTCCACCTTGCTGCGAGGAGAGCAGCGGGTGTTTAAGGTGGCTGTTGAAGATTTCTTAAAACACTGACACGGAAACCTCCCTCTTACGTGGAAATGTTACTTCATATCAAGTAGCAAAATAAACCTTTTAAATAAAGGTTTTAAATAAAGGTTTTTGGTGGTTTTGGTAAATAAAGGCAGGCATCTGCATATGTCTAAAATTTGCCTTCTTTCACCAGTATGAGTTTTAAATATTATGTTTTTTGTTTTACAAACCTAGGTTGTGACTAGTTGAACCTATTAAAGACAACTGAGAAAGGAGGGGAAAAAAAACCTCTGAATGTTTCAAGCAGCAATAGTTGCAAAACCTAGATCGTTAGCTTATTGCTGGATTATTTTTAGAGGAATACCAAAGATGTTCAGGAGCCTAAAAGCATTTGGCATTGCATCTTGTTCCTTCTCTTGCACCTGAAGGTGGCATCTGGGCATCCTGCTAGCGCAGCATGTCTCATGCGCTATTTCTTTCTCGTGTCGTCATTGAAGGGTTCAGAGAGCTGGTGTGTGGATTTAAGTTGTAGGAAGCGCTGACATTCCCGTGCAGCTGCTGTCATTGCAGAGCCCCGATCTGGTTGTATGCCAGCATTTTCACATGACAATTCTTCTCTGCTGTAATACTCAAATATTAAGCTGCTTGTCAGCAGGGAAGTTGGAGGTCAAACCACCATTAAAATACTAAAAATTTAGACTAAAATAACGTGTTTCAGTAATGAAGTGTTGCTACAATTAGAAAGTGTATGTGTGTTGCAATATGAAGTTGGAAAATGTTGTTATGCCTTTTGGAGAGAAAAAAATCCCCAACATTTGAAACGAGTGCCTTGCTTTCAAAACCAAGGAGCTGAGCTTTGAACTGGTTGTTTCGGTTATAGCTGAAGTTCCTGAAGTTCCACCTGAGATGAAATCAAGACTAGAGAGAGAGGTGCTGCATGTAGATGTAGTACAGAGATAAAGCAGACAAGGTATAGGAAAAGTAAAGCTTTATTCCCCTACTCCTGGTCCTTACTGGTGGGAGACATCCAGAATAGAGGCTTAGTGATCTGCCCAGACACAGCAGCCAAGCTGGAAATTGAACTCAAGTGTTGATTCCTGGTCAAATGCTTAAACTCCAGTTTACCTGAATTTCAGATCGCTTGTGAAGTGAGGATGATGGTGTTGGGGTGGAAGAGTTCAGCTGACTGAGGAGACAGGTTGAATTAAAACGTCAGTCTTCTTGACATTGCTCGTTATTTGGAAAAGCGAGGGGAGGGGGGGAATTAATACATCATAATACATCATTTTGTTTGTTTGCTTACAATTAAGAATTTCTTCAGCTGTATCTCGCCTAGCCCTTTTTGTTGCAGTTCAAGGAAGGACTGAGTACTCCTGATAAGAGTAAGATGATGGGGTGGTCTGGTACTCCTGGAAAGAGAGTTATTTCCCTTCCCAGGACATAAGAGCAGGACTGCCTGGTTTTGGTAGCACCTCTGCTACAAGGACAGGCTGAGGGAGCTGGTGTTGTTCAGTCTGGAGAAGAGGAGGCTCCGGGGAGACCTAATAGCAGCCTTCCAGTACCTGAAGGGGCCTACAGGAAGGCTGGGGAGAGCCTGTTTACAAAGGCTGGCGATGACAGAACAAGGGGTAATGGCTTTGAACTGGAGAAAAGCAGATTTAGATTGGAGATGAGGAGAAAGTTCTTTCCTGTGAGGGTGGTGGAGCACTGGAACAGGTTGCCCAGGGAGGTGGTTGAGGCCCCATCCCTGGAGATATTCAAGGTGAGGCTTGACGGGGCCCTGGGCAACCTGGTCTAGTTGGGGGTGTCCCTGCTGACTGCGGGGGGGTCGGACTAGATGACCTTTGGAGGTCCATTCCAACCCAGATAATTCTGTGATTCTATAAACATTGGAACAGGCTGCCCAGTGGTGGAATCACCATCCCGGGAGGTATTTAAAAGATGTGTGCATGTGGTGCTGAGGGACATGGTTTAGTGGTGGTTTTGGCGTTGCTTTGTTAATGGTTGGACTTGATGTTAAAGGTCCCTTCCAACCAGAACAATTCTATGATGCTAACCTCCTTCCCTTCCTCAGGGTTTGACTCGGCAGCATTGTTATGCTGTTGTGAAGGATTTATCAATGGCAGTGCAAATATCTTCAGTGCTCTTGCAAATTTACTCTAGCCACATGACCGAACTCTTTTGAGTCTTGAAGTACTGGACATTAGGTAGCTCTCAATAGCTTTAAAGCTGTGGGCATAAGCCCAGCATCCACTCTGGATGGTGATCACCAGGTGACTTCGCAGTGATAATGACTTTCAGTTGGAATTCACTTGACCCACAACTGAACCTGTGACCTAGAGGTGAAAGGCTCAGGGATTGTATCAAATTACTAATCATCCAAACCATCTGCATCTTTCAAGCTGTTGATTACAGAAACTGTTCAATTTCTTGAGGTGGCTTCTGTGCCATGTGTAGACAATTGGGAACGTTGTGCTAAACTAGGGAGCTTGGTGGCCGACCCTGCTTGCTCATGATTAGGTGAGATATAGCCTGTCACTATTGAGAGACATCAAAAGAATGTCATTTAGCCTATTCATCTGGATGCATCTGCAGTTTCCTCATAATAAAGGTATGTACTTTTAAGTTATGAAATAATGTCAATTTCGTTTATGTACCTGAGAATTCAAACAGTCTCAGTAGTCTTTACGCATTAGATAATCTTGTGAAATGAAATGACTTAATTCCTTACCTTGTCTTAATATGTATGTGTTTAGTCTAATTTAATTTTCAGGAATCACTGTGTGCGTAGCTGTAACTGCTACTTGAAAAGGTCAATGATATGATTAGTCATGTGTATCATTATCAGTATTGCAAAATAGGCTGCAAACCTCAAATTTTAGCCTCCTACAGATGTATAAACCTAAAGGAACTCTGCTGGCTTCTGTTGAAGTTTGCAGTGATTTAGCAGATTGTGTCTTGCTTTACAGGGTACCTTTAAATAAATTCTGTTATTGTGATGTTTATATCTGGTGCTAGAAGGGCTACAGAACATAAGAGTAGTATTTCATTGTTATAGTCATGCATGCCAACCTCATACTTCTGCTTTCTGTCTTTCTAATATTTATGCAGTATTTAACTTGACCAACAATGTGGATTTGGAGAACACCAAAAGGAAAATGGAGCTGTACCAGAAGGATAACAAAGAAGTCATTCAGAAAAATAAGATAAAACTGGTTAGTTAACTTCTCCTCTCCCCTACAATTTTTATTCATTAGTTAAATAATTAAAGGATTTTCAAAGTGGATTACTTTCTGTAATGTCTTAAAAACAAGTCAAAGCTGAAGGCACTATGTAGATTTCACTTTGTATTAAAAAAAACACAATATGCTAATGCTCTGTGATACTGATATTTAGTGCCATGTAAAAAGATTAAATTAATAGTTGAAAAGTAGTTATGCTTGATTTGGGGAAGGGCTTGAAAAGAGGGCCAGGCAGTAAAGTCTGCATCTAATAAATCGCCACGGCATGCGTGCTGGCAGTGTTGTTGAACAATATCCAGGAAAGACCAAGTTCATTCCTATACTGGGACAATCATTTCTTTCTCATCCGAAGGAAAAAAAGGAATCCAGACACAGACATTATGAAGCTCCCAGGAGAGAGCTGTAAAATTGAGGGAAAGCACAGGTCTGGTTTATGCAAAATTTAAAATGAAAGATGTTGAAACAAACTTTAAAACTTCTGTTCAAGATAAGAATAACATCAGGAGTATTCTATACATTATCTGTGTGCAAAACACATGGTTCTTTGAAGATTCATTCATTAAAATATGGCTCAGATATCATTTTGTTCTTTAAAAATAAACTTGCAAGCATTACTTTCTTTAATAAAAGTTTAATCTGTTAAATATTTTTTCAGTATAAATAACCACATTGTTATCAGTTCTTGAAGGAAAATGTCTGTCCAGAGTGTGACATAACAAGGTTTTGTGTTTGTATTCCAGTTGCACTAAGAACTTGCTTTCAAATCAGTAGGGGTGAAATCCTCACTCCCCTGAAGTCTGTGGCAAAAGTCCCAGTGATTTCTTTAGCTCTAGGATTTCACAGGAGGAGACTGGAATCTGAAAAATGTTTGTTTGAACCTCTTCCTTCTAAAGGCGAGGAGGTTTCCCTAGGGGTCCATCTCAGCTCTGTTATCCTGTTTCTGACACTGTGCAATATCCGATGCTTCAGAGCTTGAAGAGACCGGCCAAATCTTTGGCGCTGTGTCTTACTTGACAATGGAGGTGCAGCCTCCAGGGTCACCGTGAGAATAGTGTGCTTTGCCTGCAGCTCGCCTTCCCTCGCCGTTCGTGCCTCGCAGGCAGGCTGTGCACCAGCCCTGTGATGGTACCGAGCAGTGCAGTGATGCTCCAACCCACCCAAGCGCCCATGGACCTTCTCTTTTCTGTGCTGGAAGGCCGTCTGGTGGAAGCTGGGCAGGGCTGCCTGAATCCAGACTTACTGAAGATCTGGAGACATTTCTCTTTCATTTCTTTTTCAACAATTGAAACATAGTAATAGACTTGACCCAGTTGCTATTACAAAAAAACTGCATGATCTTGCCCATAAATTTACACCTCTCCCAAAAGCTGAAAGGGTGCTTTCTCTCTCTAGATTTTTTTTTTTTTTTGGACAGATTTTGGAATATCTTTACTCCTTAAATGGTAAAAGGTGTCCTAATTTCTCACCTAAATTTCTTATGGTTTGTCATTCTCTCTTCATTCTTGAACTGACATAAATTTTTCTGTCCGCTGTAATAATTTGCTTCTGAGGAATATAGGAATATTCTCTGTCCCTCTCAGTGTTTTTGTTACCCTTTGCTTGTTCCAGTTTGAATTTGTCTCTGGCAAGCAGAAGAGACCAGAATTGAATGCAGTATTGTAGCTGAGATCTTAACAGGCTTTGATAAAAGAGCACTGTTTTGCCATCTCTACTGGAAATATGTTGGCATACGTGATCCTGGGACTATCCTTCTCTTGTACCACTGTCATAGGAGAGGTTCAAAAGCAGTAGTGGTTAAGTAGTGCATCATGTTTTCTCCTCTGTGGTTTCTAACTGATGAATTGATGTCTCCGAATCTGTGGCCTTGTAAGTTATATTCATCTCACCTCTGCTACTTCTGTCCTCATGAGTATGTCATTCTTTCTCACAAATCAAAATAGTAAGTTGCTGGAGTAGTAACCTGTGGATTTGAATAACTTCTTGTTCTTATGTCAATATAAGTCATATTTTTCATCTTTGTATCCAGTTCCTAATGACCTTGCCACTGATGCGTGTTCCTAATGACCTTGCCACGTGTACATCTGACGTCTAGATTTTATGCAGGACCATGTAGAGAGAAAGCCAAGAGGAAGTCTTCTTTCTTTCAGACTTTCTCTGTTACCTCCAAAGTCTGGGACTCCTGAGGGCTGGCCTGAGCAGAAAAGACTGAAGCAAAGGTGGCATTCAGCAACTCCACCTTCTCTGCATCCTCTGTCACCATGGCATCTGTCTTCATTCAACAGTGGGCCCACATTTTCTCTATTTTTCCTTCTGCCTCAGATATACTCAGAGAAACCCCTCCTGTTGATCTTGACGTCCTTTGCCAGGTTTAATTCCAAGGAGGCCTTGGCTTTCCTTGTTTCATCCCTGCATGCTCTAATGGCATTCTTGTGATCTTCCCAAGCGGTCAGTCCCTTCGTCCACTCACTGTAAACTTTCTTCTTCCACTTGAGCTTTTTCAGAAGCTCCTGCTCAACCACACAGGTCTCCTGCTTCCCTTGCCTGATTTCTTGCTCTTAGGGATGCACCAATCCTCAGCTTGGAGAAAGTGGTATTTGAATATCAACCAGTTCTCTTGAGCCCCCCTACTTTCCAGAGCCCTAACCCATGGGATATCTCCAAGCAGTTTCATGAAGAGGCTGAAGTTAGCCCTCCTGAAGTCCGGGGTTGCAATCCTACTTGTTTTGTGCATCCTACCCATGATCCTGAACTCTTATCTTTTCATTATTACTACAGCCAAGGCTGCCCCCAACCTTAATGTCCTCCACCAGTCCCTCTTTGTTTGTCAGAACTAGGTCCAGTAGTACATTCTCCTTGTTGACTCTGCCACCACCTGAGTCAAGAAGTCATCATCAGTACACTGGAGGAACCTCCTGGACCGTACATGTCTGGCTGTGTATCTTTCCCAGCAGCTATCAGGGTGATTGAAGTGCCCCATGAGAACCAAGGCCTGTGATTCTGAAGCTAGTTTCAGCTGTCTGTAGGAGGCCTCATCAGCTTCCCCATTCTGATCAGGTGGCCTGGAATAAACACCCACAACTGTGGCTCTCATATTGGCCTGTCCCTTAATCCTCACCCACATCCTTAGATGTTGGGACTGTGCCTAGATTTTCTTCAAGCTTGACACAACCCTCACTGCCTGTTGAGCTCGTTTCTCTTCTGTTGTACTATTTTGCTTGGCCTTCCTTTTAGAAATTATTTGATCTGACGTGATAACTCTTCCTTTTTCCTGTAGTCTCATCTGGTTTAAGTTTTTATATCTGTTTACTTATTTCTGATTGTTTCTTTTCTGGACTGGCTCTTCAGATGAGGTCTGTTACCAGGCAGTTTTCTTCTGTTTCAGTGGAGATTCCAGGCAGTCTTTAGACATAGATGTGGAAGACATTTGGAATGTCTTAAAGACCTTGAGCTTTTAAGTTCTGTTTACTGAACTAACTAGATCCCTTAATTCTCGGACGTAACCTCAATTAGCAACTTGAGGATTCTTTGTTTGTTTGTTTCCTTTCATTAAATGCAAAGAGAGTCCAGTTTCAGGTGGTCACTGGTTGGCGAGCAGCTCTTTACCAGTGTCACTGCTAGTTATGAGATGAAAGCAGCTTCTGTTGCCTCGGTGGCATGTGATGAGATCTGTCAGCTCTTGCATCCAGGAGTAATTGGGCCTCACTGGGACCCATTGGCTTGATCTGCCTGGTAAAGGGATGTTTTTCAGCATTTTCTGTCATATACCAGATTGCTATGCTTTACGCTATAAATTTAGGTCTTCTTGTTTCAAGAATAAATTTTACTAAGCTCTTGGCTGCAGTAATGTTTTGCTGAAGCTGTTTCCATGGATTAATCCATCCATGTAAGTTTTATAAATGTTTAGTCATCTCTGCGTTTTTACTGAATTTCCCTTTGCTTTACTATTTTGGTGAGGAAGATTTGGAAAACGTTTTCTATGTTATTGTCCTGTACCTTCTTACCACCAAACTAACATTCTTGTGATCCCCTCCTCCTCCGTGAAGTTGTTTAGCTGTAATCCTCCTCCGCGCCCCGGCTTTGAGCCCTCCTCTTTTTCTTTTTTTCTCCCACTGTGATTTTCAAATACAGGTGACTTAATACTTTACAGGTTAAAACAGATTTTTCAAGAAGTAAATCCTGAAACAAAAAGTAGTCACTAGGTACTGCTAGTTCTTTCTTTTCTTCTCTTGTGGTACATGATTTCAATCCAAGTTATAGGAAAAATGCCTCATTTACTGGGAATATGACTTGTTTTACAGTCCATGCTTAAATACCTTTTAGCTTAGAAGCTTCTCTTAACATTCACAGATTTGTGACTTTTTATTTTTCTTCTACACTGGCGTTAAGAAGCACACAGTGTTCTTTGCACCCAAGATGCAGCTGATCAGGGGGGTCAGGAGCGCTATTGTGGGATTATATTTTCAGTCACCCACTGAGATTGCTTGAGATCTAGGGTGCGTGGGAGCGGAGAGGGATGTCTTCGTTTTGGAGTGGTGGGAAGCCCATTGCCATTCTATAACATTTAAAGAGCCAAGACAAAGACCATAACTTCGTACTGGACAATGCAAGGAGGTAGAACCATCATAATCGCCCTAAAATTCTACCTTAAAAAGTAGATTCTCTTAAAAGGTAGAATTTGGCTGCCTTCACTATTGCTTGTTCTGTCCTAAGTCCCTTGGTAGGCAGCAGAGCTGTGGGCGAGCTCTGTCCACCCAAGGAGGAAGGTTGCTGGAAGCTGGTTTCTGTTTTCCATTTCAGACTCGGGAACAGGAAGAGTTGGAGGAAGCTTTAGAGGTGGAGCGACAGGAAACGGAACAGAGGCGACTGCTCATACAGAAGGAAGAACAACTACAACAGATAATGAAAAGGAAGAATAAGCAGGCACTCTTGGATGAACTGGTGAGTAACAAAACCAGAGGCTTTGAATGCTCAGTAGCAGAGCAAACAGCAAGTACGTTCATGTCCATCTCTACCACAGTTAACCGTGTGGAATTAACACATCTACCCCTTTCTGTTTCCCTGTCTTGCATGTTTTGTGTTAATATTCTCTCGTTTGTCATTCATTTCAGTTTTACAAACAGCTCTGGTTTTGGTAAGCTAAGGTCTGGAGGAACTGGGGTTTCTGGCGTTTGTAGACTTAATTGGACTCACTGTCCAGAATGTCCAGTGCTGGTTAGAAATTAATTCTAGGAAAGCATTCTTGACTATTTCAACACAAAATTAATCCTGGATAAGATGCTAGCAAAGAAAAACGCAGAAGGTTTCTTTAGGTATTTAGAAGAATTTTCCTGATTCTGTCTGTTTGGATTTTTTTTCCCTCCATTTCTTTTCCTGATGAGCTTCCGTTGAAAGCTGTTTTCCTGTTGCTAATTGGCAGGTGGAAGTATATTTTAGAAATTACTTTGAGTCCAGCCACTCTACCAGTTTACTTAGTAGTTGACATTTGACCCCATATCTGAAAAAGGACTAGTATAAAAGTCTAGATTTCTATTTAATTCATGGACAGTATGAAAGCCAAGGCTTTGACTGTCACCAACGATGGCTTATGTTGGCATAGCTGATGTGATGACTACTCCACCTTGAACCTGATGTGTAATAGGTGAGGTTCTGTCACGTCTGAGGCCACGTAACTGCTTGATTTGCCTTCAGTTGATGAGGGTTGCATCTGCTTTGGTGTGTGTCTGGTCACACAACGTGTGAGGGGGTAAAAGGAGCTACTAAGTTGGTTCAGCCATGTGAACTCGTACTACTGCTGGCTTGTTAAGGAGTCCTGAATAGTGGTTAGCAATCTGGTGTGTTGAAGCAAAGTGGTAATCAGGAGCTACTTCATAAGCTCAGCAAAGGGAAGATGGTGGAGAACAGGGAACAGTAACCTAGTGAGCTATTTGAGTATCTGAGTATTGGTCAAGCCTTTTTGAGTCAGAGAACCTAAAGGATTAAGTGGTCCCTTATGACTATGAGAATAATCTACTATGAGAAACTACTATGAGAAAAAGATTTCTTGCCTTGACTGTGTCATGTTCTCTTATGGCAAACTTTTTGTGTATGAGTTGCTCCAACTGAAGAAAAACTCAGCTACTTCTGGAAACTCTGTTAATCTTGTCCTTGGCTGAATTTATTGCTGATTCTGCATTTGAAATGCAATGATGACGTGTGGGCATAGAGAAGCTCGATAAATGTGTGGTTTAAACAAGATTTGCATCTCATTTTTTTTAATGCACATGTATGTACAGACATGAATGTACACACATTGGCATGCTCTAACACTCGTGAGAGCGGTCTCTGGTGTGCCTTGAAGGAAATCAGGAAAAAGGAGAAGTATGTATGCGTGCAGATATGTGTGCAGCTATGTCAATATGGTTTAAGCTGCTTGGGAGATTTAAATCAGAATTTCTCTCTTATTTCTGTTTCCCGTATTAATATAGCATTAATTCCTGCTTTGTATTCTCAGTTGTTGTTCAAGACACAGATGCTCTTCTGCCTTTCCTGGAAAAGCAGAGTTCCTCTGAACCAGTGCAGAAGGCACTGAGGTGAAGAGAGAGCATCGATGTGCAATGTGGGCGTTTAGAGGCTCTCCTGAAGAGCTGCCTTTTCCTAAGCCAGGAGTCCTGGCAACCCGTCACTGGTTTTGCTGAAAGGAGCAGGTGTTCCATTTTTTTTCGTGGGCCAAAGCAGGGATGAGCAGAAAGGTGGTTTTTTTTTTGTTTTTGTTTTTTGAAAATCCTTCAAGTCTGTAACTTTGAACTCAGCAGTCTCTTATTGCTTTAAAGCTAAAAGTGCTTACGCTCCAATTAGGAGTAGTTTGAGTAGTGGCTCAATTAATAAAAGCTCCACTATGAACTTGAATCTAATGGAGTAGGATAGGGATTTTTAACTGGTTTCTGACTTACTTCAGTCCTATTCTAAAACATGCCCTTAATTTACTAGAGACCAGTGTGTTTTTTGGTTTGTTTGGGTTTTGTGTGGTTGGTTGGGGTTTTCACTTTTTTTTTTTTTTTTACAGAGCAGTTGGTTTTACTGGAAACCTACTTGACCAGATGGCTTGAGGAAAGAATAGCCATAAATAATCCTTAAAACTTGACCAAACTAGGCAGTTTTAACTATGATTGCATATATGTATTAGTGTTAAAACATATCTTAATATTCTTAAAAAAAACAGAAAGTTGATTTTTAAAGGCTGAGGAAGGAAACTGCAACTTTAAGTTGTGTCTTTGTTTATGAAGGGGCACTGTCAACTTAAATTCAAGCCAAAACTTGTTTTGTAATACTACAGGTTTATAAAAGCAGCACTGAAGTGTTTGTATAATGACTTATAAATTCTGTGAAAAAACAGCAGTGGTTAAGCAAATAAACATTTCCTATGGTCTCTGAAATCCCTCTGTTGCTGTGCTGCAAATCTGAAAATGAAGCTGACCATAAGTAAAACTTAACTGAGAAATGCAGCAAAAGCTGAGCATAAGCAATAGCAGTGTAAAGGACCGCAAGAATGGGGACCTGAGGGACAAAGTCCCTCCCACTGTAAGAAGATCAGGTTCGTGACCCTCGGAGGAACCTGAACATGTACAAGTCCATGGGACCTGATGAGATGCATCCCAGAGTCCTGAGGGACTTTTTTGCCTCCCAGTACTAAATTAGGCAGATCTTATAATGAAAGTAATATAAGAGAACTGTTTTACAATAAAATCTTTTACTTTTAAAAGCACAACACCTCGGCATAATTTAATCTTGTAGTCTCAAATGCATTTTACGTGTTAATGGAAGAGTTATGTGTTTTGTTTTAGGCATTTTTTTTAGTCTTCTAGTCTTGGATAATCAGAGCTGAGTAAAATAATAGAATCATAGAATGGTTTGGGTTGGAAGGGACGTTAAAGATCACCAAGTTCCAACCCCCTGCCCTGGCCAGGGACACCTCCCACCAGACCAGGTTGCTCCAAGCCCCATCCGGCCTGGCCTTGAACCCCTCCAGGGATGGGGCAGCCACAGCTTCTCTGGGCAACCTGTTCCAGTGTCTCACCACCCTCACAGCAAAGAATTTCTTTCTGGTATCTCATCTAAATCTCCCCTCTTCCAACTTAAAACCGTTACCCCTTGTCCTGTCCCTGCACCCCCTGACAAGGAGTCCCTCCCCAGCTCTCCTGGAGCTCCCTTCAGATATTGGAAGGCTGCTATAAGGTCTCCCCGGAGCCTTCTCTTCTCCAGGCTGTACAACCCCAGCTCTCTCAGCCTGTCAATTTAAAATATGAAAGCACTTCCTTTATTTACTGTATAAACTCTCTCACCTGTGTACAGAGGATTATAGATCTGCTTTTAGATGTCTTCTGTGTGGTGGGACTCGCCCTTACCTCTTGAAGAGCCTGTACTTCCCAGGCATGAAGAAAATAGCATTGCAGCCCAGGGCAGAGGCAGGTTTTCCCTGGGCTGTGGTGTAACTTGGAGTCAAGCAAAGGGCAAGGTGTCGTAAAGACATCGTATCCCTGCTTTTACCAGAACTTTGGGGGGTTTTGAGACAAATATTTTGGAAATTTTTGCATATAACTGGCTTTGGTCATACCATCAGTTTGTTTTCCCATACAGGAGACTGTGAGTGTGGATTAATGCTTACAGCATTGGACCTTTCATGTGTGTTAACAGTAAGAAGGCTGTGTGTGTACTAGAAACAGTCGCGGATGCGGTGGCTCGCTGACGCGGGGTGGGTTTCCCACCGTTGTGTAATCTGGTTACCCGTCCTTGTGCCAACTCCTGAGAGCTTGGTACAAATGTTGGCTTCCTTTAGTTATTACATGAGAAATGCAGTGAAAGTTTAAGGAATATAAGAGGGCAGAGCAAATGAGAGAACGCTTCACGCTCTTCCCTTCTCCCTGAGCTTATTAAATCTGATGATTAAAAGAATCCAACGTCCTTAAACCCTGCCGACAGGTAGCAGTGTGTGCTGCTGCACGGGGTTATGGACACGTGCAACACTTTGAAGATACAGACTGTGAACTAATGCATTTGTGGTCCAAATTTTCTCCCAGTTGTACAGAGATTAGAGATCTGTAAATGGTACAATACAGGTTTTTAACCCCTTCTCTCCCCGCCTCCCTGTTAATTGTAGAATCACAGAATCATTCAGGTTGGAAAAGACCCTCAGGATCATCAAGTCCAACCATCAACCCCACTCTACAAAGTTCTCCCCTCCACCACATCCCCCAACCCCACATCTCAACGACTCTTCAACACATTCAGGGAAGGGGGAGACTCAACCCCCTCCCTGGGCAGCCTATTCCAGGGTCTGACCACTCTTTCTGGGAAGAATTGTTTCCTAATGGCCACTCTAAACCCACCCTGTTGCAGCTTGAAGCCATTCCCTCTTGTTCTATGGCTGATGACCTGTGAGAAGAGACCAGCACCAACCTCTCTACAGTGTCCTCTCAAGGAGTTGTAGAGAGTGATGAGGTCTCCCCTCACTCAGCCTCCTCTTCCTCAAACTGAACAGTCCCAGCTCCTTCCATCACTCTTCATAAGATTTATTCTCCAGCTTCGTTGCCCTCCTCTGCACCTGCTCCAGCACCTCCAGATCTCTCTTGTATTGAGGTGCCCAAAACTGGACACGATCCTCAAGGTGTGGCCTCCCCAGTGCTGAGTAGAGGGGGACAATCACCTCCCTCCTTCTGCTGGTCACCCTCTTTCTAATCCAAGCCAGGATGCCGTTGGCTTTCTTGGCCACCTGGGCACACTGCTGGCACTCACGGAAATGTGAGCGGGATCCTGTGCCTTAGTTGTAGTTGTGACTCTGGGGCAGATCTCCTCCTGTGAGATTTTCTTCTGCTTCTAACACTTGCCATCTAGTCTTAGCACAAAGTGAGTATTACAAAAAATAGAGAGGAAAGAGGACTGGAGAGGGATGTGAAAAGTCAGTGTACAATGCAGCAAGGCATCTCGTGGCATGAAAAACTTCCAACTTCTTATCCTGAACTGCTATAAGTAAAAAAAAATTAAAAAAAATCACAGTGCAGTTTGTTAAAGTTTGTTATTTTGAGTAACAAATATGACTCATACTTCAGTATTTGCTTGGTTCTGTGGAACTGAAGTGTATGTGACATTTGAGGGCTTTAGGAATAATGTGCTGCACTTGAGCCGTCTGGGAGGAATTCAGCTGAGCTCCTTCCCTGCTCTCGACTTTACAGTTTTTCCAGCTAGGAAGTCTGGAGGATTTCAGTGTGCATGTGGGATAGTCACATTAGTTTATTAGAAAACTGCTTGGCCGATAATTTTCTGATTCTCTGAAGAATGTAGTCCATATATGCATGTTAATAATCATTCGGTTGTAGAATTGTTCTGTTCAGAGGGTTTAAGTAGTTCATTTGCTTAACTATTAATTTTATTGGGTTTTATGTATCTTTTTTTTTTTTTTAAATTGGCTGGCTTCCCTAAAAAATAAGTTGGTAAAGGAGAAAATAAATATGCTGTTGGTTGCACTTACAATAGTGCCATTGTGCAAAGCAGAGCAAGGATCATTTCCAAACGGCCTCAGGTGAAATCTAATGGGAAACAATTTCAAACTGGTCTGAGTTCATTGGTAGAAAGAATGTGTCTTAGATAAACATCTGATCCAAGTTATACTACTTGGTATTATTCCTTCTCTGATTAAGTTCTAATTTTTTATTATTTTAATAAATATGGTTGCATTGGCTAGTTGGAATAAGGAGCCTGTTATATTGTCTTTAATGTGGATTCTATAAAAATGGTTGTTTGTAGGTTACTCTGATTTATGGAGTTGCTGCAGCTTTTTCTTATTACTGAAAATGATCGTTTTCTGTAAACTTTCTCATAGAGAGTATACGTAGCATGACGCTGCTGTGCTGGTGATGGCCTCTCGGACACAGCCTGCAGTTTTGAAGAATATGCAGAGTTAATTAATACTTGTTCTGTTTTAGCATTGAAATTTGTTCCTCCTATTTACAGGAGAGCTCCAGTCTTCCTGCTTCGCTACTTTTAGCTCAGCATAAGGACAGATCTGCTCAGCCAGAAATGCAACTGGAAAAACCCAAACCTGTCAAACCAGTCACGTTTTCCACTGGCATCAAAATGGTAAGACTCCCTTGTTTGTTTTTTTTTTTTTAAAGTGCCTTTCAAAAGACCAAGGATTTCCTCATATGAAATTCAGAGGTTATTTAAACCTGAGCTGCATATTGTATGAAATAGACAGTTTTCTTCCAATTAAATAAGCAATTAGGAATGAATCTAAGAATTTAGCCTTTCTGCTAGTTGGAATCTATGAAATATTTTCATTGCATAGTTGACAAAAGCTAGCTGTATCTCTTTCCCTGCAAAGTTGTGGTGTCCTTGAATTATTTTTGCCTCCTTTGTGTACCAATTATGGGAGTTCAAGAATAGGCTGAACTTTCTTCATATTTACTTCAAGTGCTCAAATAGTCTGTGAGAATGAGATGGACAATAGAAAATGGTGCCGGGTGGTTAAGGACGGTGTTTTCATTATTACCGTACTTTAGGAAACAGTAAGTATTTTTGCAAATGTGTTAGTGCTAAGGTGACAGCTAAGGATCTCTCAGTGTTCCTGTCCTTTACCACAACGTGGTACAAGTACTCACCAGCCTGTGCGTGGAAACGTTAAGGTCACGGGGCGGGGGGCAAATTTAGGGATGGGTACAGAAGTTCTGATCAGTTTTGCACCTTACTGGTTTCCTGTTCTGTTTTAAATCTCTGCACTTTCTTTTAGACTTTGTATTTTAGAATTGATAATGGTAAATGGTGTCTTGAAAATAGCCAGTGCTCTCTACCCTCCTCAACAACCCAAGAAGTCAGCAAAGCAAAACCCGTTGCATCAATTAATCATTTCCTTTTGTCGGGGATATCTGTGCTGTGTTCATTATCCCCCAGAGAGTTCACAATGTAGAAGCATTTGCAGCTAGTTTGTCCAAAAGTAGCGTCAACTTTTGCAAAGTTGTGCAGATTTTATTGTTTTTTTCTGTAGTATAAACTGTATCTTCTTCCTTTTTGTTTCAAAAATCTGAGTCTCAGGGAGATTGATATGCTTCGTGTGACATTGCGTTTGTGTAGAAAAGCTAGAGGACAGAAAATGTTTGTTCTCTTTCAAAAATACTCTAACAGAATGCCTGTGTTTTTTCTTGCTACTAAAATATATCGTCAGAAATTCTTAAGGCTATTGGCCTTTCTGTCGGGAAGAGGAGGAAGATGGGTTTGTGCTGCGTGATGAGGACACCAGAAGGACTTCCTAAGGCGTTTTTGCCAAGGGATAGTAAATGCACGATGTGGTAGTGGACACTTCAAATCTACAGCCCTGAGTAAACTTGGATGGATGGTGGAAGACTTGTATGAGATTTCCAGTGTCGTGCCATTTAAATCTTAACGTTTGGAATAACAGGGGATACTCCAGATAATGGATTGTTACTTCATCAGTGTTCAGAAGGTCTGCGTACATGACTAAGAGGATTTCTTGGGTCCAAGACAAACAAACAAAGATACCTCGCCCTGGCTGACCTTAGTCCTAGATTAAAAAAAGCACGATTTTCAAAAAAGAAAAAATTAGGAATAAGTACAGCTAACAATAAAGCTAGGGATTGGAAGATTTGAAGTTGGTGACTACTATGTATGGAAAATGGATTACATCAAGCAAAATGGCTTTTACACTGATAAAATTACAGATTTATTTGAGAAAGATGGATGTTCTGTGTTTTCTTTGTTGAGTGCTTGATTTAGCTATTATATCACATTGATTTTTAGAATTATGTAGAGATCGTATTGCACAATAAGAGCACTGAGACTCTGCTCAGTTGGTTACCCCAGCGTTGGAGTATTTTGGTGGTGTCCTGCTAGGACACAGCCCAGCCTTGGGAAGCAGATGTTGATTTTCTGTGGATGACATGCAAGTTGGCAGTTCGCAGGGCTGCTCTGACGGGCTGGCCTCATTTGAATGAAATGTATTTTAATATGACTAAATGTAAAATTATAAATAGAAGAGTAAACAACAAGCTCTGTGAAGAGGATTTGGAAATTTAGCTAAGCAAGTAAACCAATTTGACCCTTAGCCACAGCACATGTGTTTGTCTGGGGGCCTTGGGTATGGGAATAGTACAGCAATAAATAGGAATGGACTTTTCCTTCTGAATGCAGTATTGGGAAGACTTATGGTCTGAGGAGTTCTGCCAACTGGATTTTGAATGCAGAAGGTCCCATCTGGAGCACTGGGTCCAGTTCTGGGCTTCCCAGTTCCAGAAGGACAGGGAACTGCTGGAGAGGGCACAGCAGAGGGCTACAAAGATGATGAGGGGCCTGGAGCATCTCCCTTACGAGGAGAGGCTGAGGGACTTGGGTCTTTTGAGTCTGGAGAAGAGAAGGCTGAGGGGGGATCTGGGAGGGTGTCAAGAGGATGGGACCAGTCTTTTTTCAGTGGTGCCCAGGGCCAGGACAAGAGGAAACGGGCACAAACTTGAATGTAAGAAGTTCCACCTAAACCTGAGGAGGAACTTCTTTCCTGTGAGGGTGGCAGAGCCCTGGCAGAGGCTGCCCAGGGAGGTGGTGGAGTCTCCTTCTCTGGAGACATTCAAAACCCGCCTGGGCCGTTCCTGTGGGACCTGCTCTGGGTGGCCCTGCTTTGGCAGGGGGTTGGACTGGATGGTCTCCAGAGGTCCCTTCTGACCCCGTGGGATTCTGAGATTTTGTAATCGGAGCGCAAAGAGGAGCCGCAGAGGTCCATTGAAATGCAGGAAGATACGTTTTGTTCTGTGTTGTACCTGTAGTTTAAGGGAAGGTTTAAGATGTGACTCAATTTACAGTTAAGTACCTCCTTAACACAGAACATGCCAGATCTGAACAGCACAACAGTAAATGTAGCAAGAACCAGTAACCCCAGTTAAACAAATAAGATCTAAATAGGAACTGAAGGAACAAATAAGACCTAAAGTTCACAGTGTTCCACTGGTTAATTGGCCTCACAGTTAAAATTGACTCTGGAATGCAATGAAATCTCTGATTCTTGATGTTTTCAGATTAGGACTGGGATGTGTCTTGGAAAGTTACTGTGGTCAAATGCAAATTGTTTGGCTCAGAGTTATTTTTGTATAAAGCAGCTCTGCGCATTGTATGTTATGTGATGTGGTTGATGATCCGTGATAATGTATTCTATGACAGCATAAGGTGAATTAATCCGCCTGGCACTCCCCTTCTAACAGGTTTATTTTCCAGGTTGAGTGTTTTTCTCAAAACCTGAGATCCTCAGCCCATTTTTTTTTTTTTTTTTGCCTGGGTGTGTGCTCACAGGGAGAGCCCTGGTTGCGAGACTCTCCTCGCATTAGCTGTGTTGCTCTCCAAGCCCTGGGTCTCACACCGCTTACCTTGCTGGGGGCAGCTGCGGGGGAGTACTGAGAATTTCTTAAGAAATACAATTCTAACTGATGCTCAACAGTGCTGCAAATTAAGTGTAGCTTCAGTGAAAAGGCTATTTTGTGCTCGCTGTTGGAGTTTCGGCAGCACGCGTTTAACAAATCACTATGTACTTTCTTCCCCTGCACCTTTTTTTTTTTTTTTCCTTATAGTTTGGCCACTACCCTTTTCTGCTGGGTGTTTTCCTTAATTTTGTTTCCAAAGAGGGAATCTGGATAGAGCTAGCTAAGGTGCTGGCTAAGCTGCAGTATATGTTTGCCCAAGGGTGGTAAAAATATACCAGTTGTGGTGATCTAAGTTTTTTACAGCTCGAACATGAATGTTTTTCCTTGGGGTGGTCTTGGTCGGAGGTGTTCTTCAACCTGACTGGTAATGGGAGATGTTTCCCAGCTCCTGCCTGGAGGCATGCCCATTCTCCTGTCCTGGGTGACGCTCAAGGAAGTTGGCTGATTTAAGGTGTCGTGTCAGTGCTGTGGAGTTCCTGGGCTTGGGAGGGGAGGAGGGGGGACCATCTGGCTTGTAAGCTAAGCAAGAGCATCCCCTATAGCACAGGACAGACAGTTAGCTCATGGGGATACACTCTCCTTCACTTTTCCTTTTTGTTAAATTGTTTTCGTTTTTTTTTTCTCCTTTCAAGTGGAAGCTGTGGTGTTGTTTTTTTGGTTTTTTTTTTCCTTCAGTCTGCTCATTAACTTTTAAATTTCATTTTAGGACTTTTTTTTTTTTTTTTTGTATGAAGCATACCTTCCTAATCAATCAGTTTTATTTACCTCTAAGTGTGGGGAAAAAAGTGTTTCAGTTTTCTGCCTATCACGCTCGTCGTATTAAGAATAGGCTTTCAGCCTATCTGGATATTTAAAAAATCCTTATTAAATCTCATCTCAAATCAGTGTAAAGCTACAAAAGAAACTCTAGCAATCTTAATTGTTGCCGTAGTGCTAAAAATACTATTTGCTGTCTGTGCTTGTACTTGAAATTTTAGTAGCCATCAAAAAGAGCAAAGGTTGTCAGAAATGAATGAGGTTTCTGGCATTTCTAGGGTTTATCGGGCTGTAAGAACAAATCTAAGATCCGGCAATAGAGCCCTTCTGTGTCTTGGTGAATATAGTGACCGTTTCTGGTTGGGAAGTGGCTTTAATGTGAAGCTCATTTTAATGTGTAAAAGAGGTGCTCATATGCATTGCACACAAATGGCAGCTTGCAAATGCGGCGGGAATTAATTTTATTACAGTAATTTAGTCGTCTTTTTATGTCTCTGGTGTTTACAGGACTGCAGGAGCCTTTTGGTGCTTGTAGATCTCTGCTTTACATTACCATTGTGGTTAAAAATGCATAGAAGTGTGGATGTATTTAACTCCTCTTTAATTCATGGGGAACTGGGAACATGCAAACTTTGGAGTCTGCAGCCCAGCTATTTACATGTTGGTAAAAAATACAAATGACTCAGCTGCATGCACTGTCCCTTTGCTGTTCCTTCCAGCTTTATAATGCTTTTTTGCTCTCTTCCCCCAGCCTCCTGGGAGACTTAGCCTCTGGTGATAGTGTTCTTGAAATCATTTCATGTAGTTAAAAACTCCGTTACCTCTAATTGGATCGCCCAAATATGCAGGAAAAGAGCCTAGGTGTTCTCTGGCCTGCTACCGCTTGGGAGGATTTGCCTTTTACAT